TTTGATCTTTGACATATTACGCAGAGCAAAGTTTCATTTGGGAGTTTTCATTTTTTAGAACTTTTTCCAGTTGTAATTGTGCCCAAATTTATTGTGTTCAGCGTTTGGCTCCCCCATTACGTTGAACTATAACTGGTAAAAAGTGAATGTTGCATTCAAGGCGCAACTCTGTCTTTTTTTAAGAGGGGGGGGGGGAATCATTGAATGACTTCCACCTCCGTCTGGGTGGAGCGCGAGAGAGTGTCAGACTTTTACTGACTAAAAACCACCCCGTTCGTACTCCTGCATTTCGAGCCGGAGCTCCGGTAACCTATTACGTTCTCCACAGCTACGTATCGGCTTCAGCCCCATTGGGCCTTTGACTAAACTCTGAATAAAAAGCGTTTATATAAATATAGGCATTTTGCAGGTACCTAATAAAGTATACTATGCAATAAAATGCTTACTTAGCCAGTTATCCGTAAATAGGGATTTTGTAAAATACCAGTTCAAAGTACATTTGTCACCAACTGTAATAACATAATATTACACCCACACTCCTGTTTCTGTGGAAGCCATTTGCAAAATGACGGCGAATGAGATTTGTCAAGGATTTCCCAGATAAGCCTTCTTGCATACATTACCTAACGTATACGTTATGGTATATATTAATATTAACGCTGATTGACAAAAATGACGCCCAAAATTTCATCATATGGCAGGAAATATTAGGAAATTGGCTCAATGTTCTTTGTTTTCATTTTTCATGGAATAGAAGGCAAAAAGCCTACGTATCACCTGATGGTAAGTGATCGCAACACCGAAGGAATCAAAGGTGCGTTGCCGGCCTTTTAAAAAGGAATGCGCTCTTTTATTATTATACAGACAGATTATTCCACAGCTTTGCTGTGCAAGGTAGAAAGCTACGTGAGTAGCGCATAGTTGTGGCCTGCCAACCATCTATATGATGGGGGTGCATATGCTGTCGTGAGGGTCGATGGCAAAAAGATGCGTCAGGTATCAGGTCAAACAATTCCTCAGAGCACTTCCCTTGGTAAAACCATGCTTATTTTATCAACAATACATGGAAGATATTGTTTTTGGCATTTAAGTATTAAAATACTATCCTACTGGATAGAATTAAGAAGTCAGTTGACTCTCGCAGGGTTAGTCATGCTAGTGGCTCATATTCATGAGCGGCATTCCTTGAAACTAGTCGAGTTCCTCGTCCAACAGTTACGTGAGTAAGCCGAAAACATAATAATTAATGACTGCACGGTTGGTGCGGTGGCTGGGCAACCGGCTGCCGAGCAACGAGTCGCGGGTTCGATTCCCGCACGGAACAACACTTTGTGTGATCCACAAATTGTTATTTCGGGTCATTGTGTGATGTGTATGTGAACTTGTATGTTTGTAAACGCACCCACGACACAGGAGAAAATCCTAGTGTGGGGCAACGTTTTTAAAAAAAAACAAATATAGTCTGTCTCACGAGAGTTATAATATAAACAACTAGCTTCTGTCCGCGACTTCGTACGCGCAATCCTGTTTTCTCCCGCTCCCACAAGATTTTCAGAATTCTTTTTCTATCATACGAACCTTCTCCTTATAATAACAAAGACAACAAAAAAAATCAGCCGAATCGGTTCAGCCATTCTCAAGTTACAGCGTGACAACGGGAAACGGGTTTCATTTTTATATATTATAGGTACATAAAGTTGTAATTTGCCAAATTGGTGGTCAAGTGTACTATTAACTCGAGGAATGGAAGTAAAACATCGTTGTCATAACTATTGTATGTATCTAACCATTTAATAAGAATTAGGTAAGGAAGGCTAACGTCCATACCTAATGCATGCATAGATATTACGGGATAATTAGTTAATAATTTGCGGCTGACGTGGAAACCACATATTCATCAATACTGTCAATACATATCGCATACAATGTACACAATAGGGATGATGGCAGGGTATGAAAATTAAAAATGTAATTAGTCCGTCAATTAGGTAATGAAAAAAAAGTAGACACGTACTTTTTATTTTGTCGTATAATAAAACAATATTTAGATATAACGAATCAAAGTTTAGGAGTTGGGGCTAAAACTTCATTTCTACGTATGAAATGTACATAGAAGTGACGACACGCGACATTTTAAATCAATATATCGTCGAAAGTATTTGTTTCTGTAAGAAAATAAAAAATACGTGTGTAATGATTTCAAATAATTTACCAGACGGACATTAAAATAAAAATTAGGCATCTACCCAATTATTGTACAGTCTTAATGCAATTTACAGTAATTGTGTCTTTTATTTAACAACATCAAGCAAGATGATCAACACTGGAATTCTAAGTAAAAAAAAAATATTAGATTTGCCAATTTGGAAATTCCTTTTTATAGGAAAAAAGGGGTGATATTATTATAGAAAGAGAAGGGTGTAACTGCATAGACCTTCTTGGAATATTAAAATAATAAGGGCACAGTCCCCAATAATCCAATTCTATTTTCGTTAGTGTTATATCATTTACAAAATACATACTTTCTTTTAACTTATGCGGTAGACAGAGGTGCACAATATAAAGTAACGTCATTTTTTCACCAGTGATATTATGAGTCCGGTCAGCATTTTTTTTTTGTTTTTGAGTTGACGGTTGAGGCGGAAAAATGATCAATGACTTCTCTCACTTTGGGTTAGGCGAGAGAGAGACTCAGACTATTACTGACTAAAAACCACCCTGTTTCTACTTTTGCTCTTCGAGCCGGACGAGCTACCCTTGTTCGATGTCCGCAGACGCGCACGCCCTATCAGCCTAGTATAAGTACTATTTTAAATTTTATGCTTTTACTATTGTAAAAAAAAACAATTAAATCCAATAGTAATTCGCTAGCAGTGTTGCTTGTGATAAATTGATCAACGACCCAGTAACACATACAGTCAATTTTTAATATGAATTACAAATAAATATATCTTCAAAAAGAATCCTCACGACTATCTCTTATTAATACGTAGACAGGTATTTCAAACATTAACAATGATAACATACGAGGAGGTTTTAAATTCAACTTAGCAATTTAGCAAATTATAATAAAATGTATTCATAAATGGGTCCGTCATAATTACTGGCTGTCGGTAAATGTGAGTTTATAAATGTTTTTTCAAGTGGCAACACCAACGATGCCTTTAACCTTTTTAAATTTAAAAAGTAGCTGTTCTTTTTTTAGTTCTAGTACGTTTTCAGACGAATGAAGTTAGATTAAAATTATAATCAAAACTATGTTAAATGTGTCGTGGTGGCCCGAAGTTTAAGACGCCCGCTTCTCATGCATGAGTGCATGCATCTCATGCATGGGTGCGGGTTCGAAACCTACTAACGGCAAGTACCAATGTGACTTTTCCGAGTTATATGTACTTCCTAAGATTATTCAGACACCACTGACAAACGGTGAAGGAAAACATCGTGATTCCTCACATTATAAGCCCAGGTTTCCACCTGGGCTTATAATTTCCAGTTATAAGTTTGTAATCGCCAACTCGCATTGAGCAAGCGTGGTGATTAATGCTCAAACCTTCTCCGTGTGAGAAGAGGCCTTTGCTCAGCAGTGGGCCTTTAAAGGCTGTGGATGAATCAAAACTAGCGATTTCAACGAATTTCGAAAACGTAGGTTCTATGTCTCAATGTCATGAATAAATCGTGACCTTTACTATAATCGGAATTTTAATTCGATTCCAGATTTGACAATTTCAGGGTTGCAAAGTTATGACAAGTACTAAATAGTGACGTTGCGATATTATTCGATATGGAAATGCAATATTTCTGGATCGATTCTTCTCGTTTATAATTTTACTCTCGTAAACTAAGTATATCAGGAAAATAAATATTTCTGAACCAATAATTTAGTTTTGAAGATTAATTAACGTCTGAGACTTTTCTTTTATAATTGTGTGTGAAATAAATAAGAAAATGTAATCATGAAGGAACATGACAAATAAAACAGATAGATGTATTATGGTAAAAAGTTATTTTATAAATTGTCGCCGTCATCGCTGTCGCTATCCTGTCACTTTCTGTAACATTTATTATAAAACACACACACTGATTGTTTATCGATTTTTGTGTTCATCACTACACTATTATATGTGGTATCATTATTTCACAAAATGACAGTAGCTATTGTCAAATCTGGAATCTAATTAAAATTCTTATAGACTTATAGTCATAAGTTAAGAATCAAACTTACATACGCAATTAGAAACTAAGATCGTCAAAGTGTCAAAATATAGCTTACGGAGACACTCACAAACTAAAATGGCACGTAAGAATACGTATAGTTGGGTTCAGTTTAACAAATGACGCGTCTAGCCACTAAGCGCTGGTTGTCAGCACTCAGTGAGAATACAACAGACGTTTTAGTTCTATAACACTCAAGGCTTTTACACTGTTGCTCATCCATTGTGCTATATTCAAGCTATTTTTTCTCCTTTTTGACGGGAAGTATAGCTTTTATGGTTTATATTTGGAAAACAAGATAGTATTAGTGTCTTATAAAAGACATTATTAGGTTTTGTAAGTCTACTGCCCATTCTTTTGCTTTGTAATCAATACTTGAAGTGGTACTTTGAAGTGCCATCACCAGATTTTGTGTTAAATTCCTATAAATACATTCACCAACTACAAATATAACACCAGCTTCTATTAACATGTCACCCGTTAAAAATCATCCCCTAAATTTGTTCATACAAAAGTAGTCTCTAAACATTGGAAATAAGATCTATAATGTAGTTAGTGGAGAGCGGTCACCGGTGACCGCTTGGGAATATATGGGTTGAATGTCTAGTTAAACAACAGTACATCTCTACTGGCACTACAAAGTACCAGTACAGATTCTATCACTATTTAGATTAGAATTTGGATTCCTGTCTAAATATTCGGCATAGAACATGTTCTAGATATGCCACTGTAAAGTCTGTTTTAGTATAGATTTGAATTTCTATCCAAATATTGATTTTGTGACGTACCTGTAGCACATTCTGCGAGACATATGACGAGTAGCAGCGCAAACACTTTGGTGACGGTGCTGCGTGTTGAGCTGGCTCTATTTGATCTGCGATCCATTGTGGTACTTCGATTGGTAGATGCTGTAACAAACGGTGTATATTAACAGGGGTAAGCAGAGGTGCACATTATGCCAGTGTACAATGTAATACCCACTTTTCACTATTTATGTTATGAGTCCCATGTAATAGGGGGGAGCCTATTGTCATATACCGTGCACAATTCCAGATTCCGTGCTACGACTGAGGGTTTTTTTAAAACACTAATTCTCTGCCCGACTCGGGAATCGAACTCGAGACTCGAGGCAGTCGCACTTGCGACCACACGGCCAACGAGGCAGACGGTGTATATGAATATTTGTAAATGAATATTAAAGTAGGAATTCAGTATTTTTATATCTTATATTATCATATAAAGGGGAAAAGTTTGTTTTTTTGTTTGTTTGTTTGGACGCGCTAATCTCCGTAACTACAAGTCTGATTTGACTAATTCTATTTGTGTTGGATAGTGCATTTATCGAGAATGGCTATAGGCTATAAAACACCACGCTACGACCAGTAGGAGCTGAGCAGAGCGTGTGAAACCGCGCGGAAGTAGCTAGTATACATATAAATTGTAAAGTATGAATTGACGGACTAAACGCTATTAGCATTCTTTGATAGTCAACCATTATGCTATTAGCTGTGGTGACTTTTTTGGTGTCAATTTTTATTTATTGGTGATCTTTTATTGCCGAACAAAGTTTATATAGAAATAAAAAAAAATGGTTGCCTGTAAAGTCGTTTTTACGGGCAAAGATTTTACGTGACAACGTCTTTTTCTCGGTAGAATATTTATTGATATGAATATTCGAGAAAGACAAAGACAGAGACACAAGCATGTGCCGATTCAATGCGCCTAATTCTCTAGTGCTGCGCGCGCGGCAGACCGATCATAGTTGAGTGGGAGAGAGACGCAAGGCATTCGGCGGGCCTCTCTCTCGTTCGGTGACTCATCGTAACGTTACCGAGCGTTACACTTTTTCATAAGTGACTCCCAGCCGCAACCTAATTTAAGACGTTGTCACGTCAAAAAGTATAGATGCAAAGTTTGACAAAACAGAAAAAGAAATATTTAAAAATTTAGTAAAGATATACTTAATAATAACATCAAATGCACAATATAACCCTTCTCTAAAAAGACAAAGCTCTCCTCTATAAACTCCACATGCATAAATGCATTACACAAAATGAAATCAACATTCGTGAACTAAGGTCTCATTCATTGTGCAAGGAAAAGCAAATATTTCGTACAAATGAAATGTCTACATCGAATACTAAGACCAAATACAACTTGAATACAATTAGCATATGAGTAATCAAACAATGTACCATTCCAGTGTGCAATTGAAGAGAATATCAAACAATTTGTTATGTTTTTGTTTGGAATTCAAAATAGGTTTTGTTTGCAGTCTAGACTGTCTTTTAGTATTGACTTTGGTTTAATAATTCAATTACTGTTTAAAAGGAAGTATCAATGACCTTTCACTTTAAAAAGATGGCGGCGGTCGGTGGCATGATGCAAACGGTATTTTAAAATGAGGTAACTTGAAAGTGAACTATGCATTCAGTATGTTGTCACAGCAATTGGTCACTAAGACTTGAAATATGACTGCAATATGGGGTTGTTCAAGAAAAGAGTAAATAGGTTTATTAAGGGTCAGCAAGGCGCATCTGCCTCATGTCTTGGAAGCGTTCATAGGCCATGGTAACCACTTACCATCAGGTGTGCTGTGCGTTTTTTTTGCCACAGTCGTGGTATAAAAATACTGTACAAAGTTGACTTCTTCACATCGTCTTAAATAAATAATGTTTTTAATTCGGTTCACTCATTTGGCACCTTTGGTACTTTAATACCACAAAGTGATTTGTATACTAATTAAAAAAAGAGCATATATACGGTTGAATTGAGAACCTCCTTCTTTTATGAACATAACATAACATAACATAACGCCTTTTATCCCTGAAGGGGTAGGCAGAGGTGCACACAGAAATAACACCCACTTTTCACTTTTTTTTTGTTATGAGTCCCATGTAATAGGGGGTGAGCCTATTGCCATATACTGGGTACAATTCCAGACTCCGTGCTACTACTAAGATTTTTTATAAATCCAGTAATACTTTGCCGGACCTGGAATCGAAGTCGCAATTGCGACCACTCGGCCAACGAGGTAGTCTTTTTTTGAAGTCAGTTAAAACTATTAAAATATATCGAAATAAAAATAATATTCTTACTAGTATACATTTGTATTGTCGATTATACTTTATATAACTAACTACAAACAAACATTTACGACTATTTCCATTGCGAGGTAAGCTGCCAAGTTGGACAGTTAGTGGTAAACCGAACTAATTAGTTCATTCTCAACTACCTGCACTTCCTGGCAACTTGTGCACTGTTATTATTGTAATCTTACTGCAAACCTGATTAACTTTTAACTTTGGTAATTAGCTAAAAATAACGCAAGTAACTTAAAGCATATTACATTCTCTGAAGTGATTGATAGAAGTAGGTTTCCTAATTTGTTTGTAGGTCATACTTTTTAACGGGCATATGAAACGTATTATATAATTAATTGAACTGACAATATTATTTTAAGAGGCCAAATATTATACTTCTTGATGTTACATTTTGTAATATTTGGCTATATATAATTATAAAATTTTAGAAATCAAATATTGTAATGGGACTGTTCGACTATATCGTCATATTCAACAGTTGTATTTGCCACGCAACCTATACAAAAGTAAAAAAAAAAAAACAATCATGTTGTTTCTTATTTGACAATCTACCTTTGATGTAGTTTTTAAATATTTATCATCAAATTAGGTGTCACGAATCACGATCGATGAAGCTGTGAGTTAATTAATGATTCATAGCTATATTATTTTATTGAAAACAGTCATACAAGATTATAATACTATTGTCCAAAAAAGTGATTGAAATCGAGTAACGCGTTATTTATATTTTTTCTTATACTCAAAATAATCAGCCCAAACTCTTATAGTATAAAACATCAAAAATATTTGCACAATTGCGTAGTTTGCCTTAGAGAAATAAATGTGTTTAGAAAACTTAATAATATTATGCAAAAGTCTGCAGTACAAATGTTCAAGAGGTAAGCCTTTTAATCGGGGATGACTCTTTGTAGAAAAATGTAAAAGATCATAATCAGCCCTAAACGTGGAGTCCAAAGTACAAGACACAGCGATTTTTTTGCTTAATAGTATGTTACAAAAATTAATGTCGTTTGAATGTCGCTCAACCGGAGTGATACCACGGCCTCACAGGAGATCGACGTGAAACAACATTGTGTTGTATTTCGTCGTATGAGTGAGCTTACCGGAGGCCCAATTACCTCCCCCCCCTCCCCCTTTCCCCAATCCCTGAATCCCCAACAATCCTCAAATTCCTAATCCCAGAAGGCCGGTAATGTACTTGTAACGCCTCTGGTGTTCCAGGTGTCCATGGGCGACGCTAATTGTTTACCATCAGGTGATCCGTTTGCTCGTTTATCGGCTTATTCGATAAAAATAGTCAAAATAAAACATTAATTTAGTCATTGATGGAATTATAAAAATGTTTAGAAATATAGCAAAAATAATGTACTCTGGAAAATTAACTACTATTTTGTAGAGTTATTTGAACAATGTAAATACGTAGAACTGTACCAAACTATAAGATAGGTAGTAAAGATGTACTTCGGCCGAACTATTAAATACCGTTACTCTATAGACAGAAGTTCCTTCTTACAAAATTGTAGCACAAAAAAACACTACAGTAAACCTGCCACAAATTTTACCTTATCACAGACCTTGTTTATCGCAACCGCCCACAACTTAGCCCACGCTACCAAAGAGTAGCGGTTATCTAAACAATACATTTGCATGTCTCTAGCCACCGGGACAGATGTATCTTGCAACTACTGAATACACCTTTATTTATAATGCTTAGCTTTTTTTATATGCAACATGCAACTGCATTGCTACTGGCAGGTTGGTAGAACTGCGTTTAGCTTTTATTTGTTGTTCTGATGTTGGATCTGTATATGTGTATTACAAAGGTAAGCTGCCTGGCCTGGTGCGATTGCTGGGCAAGGGTCTCGGGTTCGATTTCCAGGTCGAGCGAAGTAATACTGAGTTTTTAAAAAAAAACCTCAGTAGGAGCACGGAGTTTGGAATTGTGCCCGGTATATAGCAATAGGCTCACCCCCTATTACTTGGGACTCGTAACATAAATAGTGAAAAGTGGGTGTTACATTGTACAGTGGCATGTAATGTGCCGTATGCACCTCTGCCTACCCCTCCAGGGATAAAGGCGTGATGTTATGTTATGTTGTTGTGTTACAAGGTAACTAAAGATGTGTATACAAAATTATTAGAATGATTATAGCGATAACGATGAAGTATAAAAATAGTGAGCGCACTTCAAATATTTTTTTAATAAATTTAATTTCAGTACCTGGTAGACAGTCCTATCTTAGTAATTAAATCAACAGTTCCTATCTCAGAACTTACAGTTACTGGACAGTCAAGTTTAAATATTGAATTTAATTTAATAATTAGTAGATTTAAGAAAGAAGTTTTCTTAGAAATTTAACTTAGTTAATGCACTTGGATGAGTCTTATTATTTTTTTAAACGTTGCGCTAACTTAGATTTTTTCCTATGCCGTGGGTGCGTTTACGAATACATATATAAGTTCACATTTACTTGTCATATTTGTCATGGTGTCAAGCGAAAGAAGTATGTAAGAAAGCGAGAGCTGTATGTAAGAATAGTAGCAATTGGAATTCCATAGTTTCTGCCTACCCCCATGGGAGACTGGTGTGAAGTTATGTATGTGTGTATGTAGGTGTCATGATAATGTGAACTTGTATGGTTTTTTTTAACACGCCCCATACTAGGATTTTCTCCTGTGTCGTGGATGCGTTTACAAACATACAATATCACATACACATGAAACCCAGACCCGGAACAACAATCTGTGGACCACACAAAGAGTTGTTCAGTGCGGGAATCGAACCCGCGATACGTTGCGCGGCA